TCCCCTCCGCGGGCTCTCCACATGCAGGCTCCGCAGCAGGCAGGGAGGGAGCGGCTCGGCTCTCCTGGCAGCGCCGGCTGCTTTCTCCTGCCTCTCATTTTGCCCCGTGGTGGCGGGGGGCCCTGGCGGTGCCTGGCTGGGAGCTGCCGGTGGTGGGGAGCCGGTGTGAGAGCGGTGCAGCCCCCAGGGCAGGTGGACGGTGATGGCAGCACCGACCTGCTGGTACCCTTGGCAGGTCTGGGTGGTGGTGAGGACCAGCTCGCCTGGACGCAGGCTGCTGACACCGCTTGGGGCCAGGCTCCATCGGAGCTGCCGGGGGCATGCCTTCGGCTGGGGCTGGGTTGCTCCTCACCCCAGCGCGGACCCAGGGCTGCAGGGGCCCCATCCAGAGCCGGTTCCCTTCCTGCCGTGTCTCAGGGCAGACTCCTGCTGCCGGGGCATGGGGAGGGGGCCACCGAGGGAGTGGATGATGGGAGCGCGAGGCTGAGCTGGCAATTAGTCCTCCAAGTGTCTTGACTCACCGAACCATAATAAACCATGAATTATGACTGCGAGCTTTGTGAAGGGAACAATAAGCCACACTTGATCGCAGCCCACGACATAACAGCGGCAGCCGGAGGGAGGGACGAGGGGCGGCAGAGGCTGCTCCGGTGGCACGGTCCCGCTCCCCTGGGGCCGGGGGCTTCCCAGCCTCCCCCAGCCCCGTCCCTGCCCGGTGCAGGACGGAGCCAGCCCCCGTCACCGCCGTGCACCCGGCACGTGCCGCCCCTCTGGCCTGGCTGCGGCTCTGGCGAGGGGCTCCTACTCGGTTAGGTGGAGAAAGAAGCGTCTGGTTGACCAGTGCTGTAATGGTTCAGTGGGGTAAATAACTCATAGGGCAAGCGTGAGCACTAACTGGGTGATTAACATGCATTTGCAAATGTCCAATACATATTTAATCGCCCTCCAATACATGTTTGCACAAACATTAACCTGTCTGCGTGCCCACATCGCTGTTTAAGCTATGGCTGTCCCAGCAGCCGGCAGTTGGTGCCTTGTGTGGGCCGTGGTGAGGGGTCCGGCAAGGCCAGCACGGCTCCTTGCCGGGCTCCACCAAGACTGCGGGCAGCGGGCAGCAGGCAGGGTCCTGGCCAGGCTCCCGGGCACTGCGTGGCCTCGCGTGCTCTGCGGGGCAGGGACTGGGGGTGATGCTGGGGGATGGGGCAGGAGGACGGGGCAGGAGTCTGGCAGGTCATTTCCAGGCTCCCGGCGCGATTCACGGCCTGGCCTTGCCCTTGCCCCTGGCACGGGATGGGTGGGGGCCCCCTTCCCCGCTGCCCGCTGCCTGCCGGCAGCCCTCCTGCCCGTGCCGAGCGGGGGCTGTGGTAATGAATCCTGCCCGCCGTGGGGAGGGAGCGCGGCAGCCTGTATATCTCTGGTTTATGAGAGCACCAAGCTGTCCCAGCAGGCGTTTTCAATTCCGTTTATCTGTGTTTCCCCATTGAGTTCATTTTATTTCCCCTGATTTTTGTTTCCTGGAAGATTTATTGATCCTGATTTTCTCAGTTTATGACAGGTAGCAGGCCATAAAGCATGCGGAGCAGCCAGCCCGGCACCAGCCCCCTCCCTTCCGCTGGGAGGACGCGGCACCAATGTCAGCGGTGGGGAGAGGGATGGTGCTGGGCGCTGCGGGGCCGCCTGGCTGTGGGGCTGCTGATGGCTGGGGGCTGCCCGGGGGGGCCGGATCCCCTCTGCCCAGGTCCCTGCGGAAGGGCAGGGCTGGGGCTGGGGGTGCAGCGAGGCCCATCCCCGCTGCGTTGCCACTGCCCAGGCGGCCAGGGGCCACCGCGTCCATCGGGGAGGGCACGTGGTGCTGCTGGAGGGATGGGGACCAGCCCCTCTGTCCCTCCCCAAAGGTGTCCCCTCCCGGCAGCCCCACGGTGGCTCTACGGACACTCACTGCCCTTCTGCCCCACTGCCACGGCCCCCTTCCAGCTGGCCTCCAGAGGGTCCCCAAACTGCCCATCACTTCCAGAGGTCATTCCGAAGCACCGGTGCCAGCCGCCAGTGCGCTGCCCCAGCAGAGGCAGGGCCTGAACAGCCCTCGTTGAGGCAGTTCTTTATTTTACCCGGGTCTGATGGTCCTGCCCTTTGCTTTGGCATCTGCCGCCACTTGGGGTGGGGGCATTGGGCCAGCTGCTGCTCGGGCACCGGGTCGTGGGCCGGTACACCGGAGGGAGGGTGCCTGGCAGACGTGGCTGTGCCGGGGCTCCGGCTGCAGCCTGCGCGGGGCTGAGCCGTGGCTGAGCTGGCCACAGAGATGCATGTCAGATTAGTGCAAGGGTGATTTTTAGCACGCCCTGCAAAAAAGCACAGTTAAATGCTCCTGCTGGAGTTCAGCCGCTCTGCAAACATCTGGGCTCTCGGCTTCCCGGGTGGGGGCTGGCTCCATGGCCCACCCGATACCGACCGTGCCCTGTGCGGTGAGCGCGGATAGACCAAGAGGCATCTGCTCCCAGCAAAGGAGCGCCTTGGTGGCACTGGTCACTTGTTCCTGCAGTCACCGAGCCCTGAGATGCCTCTGCCTCCTTCCCCGATGGCTCAGCCCCAGCTCTCCCGAGCGGCTCTCCCGGAGAAAGGGCTTCGTTGCCCCCGGGAGCTGCCATCCCCCTCCGTCAGACCCCGCTCATTTTTCGGCAGGGGCAGGAGAGATCAACTGTCCATCCCCTGGGTATCTCCTTTCTCTCACTGACCCATCACCTGGAGTTGCTCTGTCTGTCCGTCCGTCTCTCATCTCACATCTGCTCTGCCGTGCCGCTTTCTCCTTCGCAGACGCATCTGTCCCTGTCTCGCCCCCTCGCTCCCAGGCTCTGGCTGCTCTGCCCAGGATGTGGTGACCTGCAGTTATTAAGAGCCTTTATTGCTTTTCCCTGTAACAGATCAAATGATCTTTCCCGGCTGAAAAGCAGCGAGGAGGTGACCTCGCCCCAGGCTGCCCCGCTCACCCAAACTCATCTGTACTCGGGGAGTGGAAGTCCCCCAGAAGCCGGGGGACGAGCTGTCCTGGCCTCAGCCCGCTCTCCTGGCACCTCTCCCAGGCCGCCCACCACGTCCCGCTCTCGTGGTGCCATGCAGGATGGTCCTGCCGCAATCCTGGGGCTGGGGGCTGTGCTGGCGGTGGCCCGGCTGCCCCTTGGCCGGGCTGTCCCGGGGGGGTGCTGGGGCCGGGGGGGGCCAGCCCAGCCCCGTGCCCCGCAGACAGGAGCTGCGTGGGTGTCCGCCGGGGGTGGGAAGCTGGGATGGAGGGGGAGGGCAGCGAGGCAGAGGAGGGGATGAAGGGCCAGGATGTGGGGGATGCGGTGGGGTCTGTGGTCCCCACGGGGGCCAGGGGAAGGGGCTTGCAGGGCAGCGGCTGCCTCGTGGGGGGTCCCCAGCAGGACCTGCCCTCCTCTGGATGCACTTGGAGGCAATTGAGCCCTGGGGTTAATTAATACATACGCTTCCCAATTAAAATCTGAAAGAAAGAAGGCGCTTGATTCAATCAAGCCTTTTCTGCGCTCATCTGCCAAATTCCCATCTGTGGGAGCAGATTTTAATTGTTTTTGGAGTAATTTGGCCATGGCTGGAGCCCTCAGGCCATCACCCCTGCCTCTGCTCCGCATGCCCAGCCAGGACCGCAGGGTCCCGGGGGGCTGGTGTGGGGTCTGCCGGGACCCTCTGGCTTCGGCCGTCGCTCCTGCCATCAGGAATCCTGTGGAGCAAAAGCCCAATCCTGGGCCAGGGGTGGGGAATGGGTGGGCAAGTGTTGGTTCATGGCGGGATGTAATGGCCCCGGCACCGCTGTGGCGGGAGCACGGATGAGCCCTTTGCCATGTGCCGAGGAGCGGCCAGTGCCGGGCAGCGCCGGACCCTCCTGCTCTTCCCACAACCTTCAGCCACCGGGATTCCCTCTGCTCTCTGGCGTGGAGCCCACACGGCTGCTGGCGCCGGGGTCCCGGGTGAATGGGGCTGCAGGAGCCGTGCTGGGAACCCTGCCGGGAGAGCAGGGCTTGTTAAACCCCTTGTGCTGGGCATTTCCCTCAGCTCCCCTGCTAAAATGGATTAAAGGAAAGTGATAAGTATATGGGATTTTCATGCATCCGGAGGGACAGGGAGTATTAAAGGTATTAACTTTTCCATCTGGGCTGCTAATCGTTCGTTTTCAGAGGGGATCAGGGCTCGGTGACAAGCCCTGGGGAGCTGCACGCTGCTTCCGATGGGACACGTGTCCCGGGGGGCTCCGGTGGCACCTGAGGGACCCGCACAGTGGCTGGGAGCCGGCAGCGCCGGCAGCATGAGGTGGCTGGCGAAGACGGGAGGGCACGGGGCACCCAGTGCGGATACAGCGGGACCCTGATCTGGCCTCTGGCCTCTCTCAGCCCCCTGTCCCCACCGCAGATTGCGACAATAACGTCTGCTGGTGACCTGCACGCCGGGGCCGTCTTTACAGAGGAACAATAATCTCTCCAGAGGAGATGAAAAGAATTCTAATTACATCTCCAAACAATATTTGTTTAGAGCGAGGAAAGCAAATCATATGGCATGTGGGAGACTGTTTGGGGGCCGCATTAAACAAGGATTTGTTTTTCATTTATGCTCTGATCTAAGCAGAGATGCAATCACGCTTTATTTATTTATTACATCTTGGAGGCATGTGGGGTCCCCTGCCTGCTCTGGGGCGGGGGGTCCCGGGGGGCGGCGTGGAGCAGGGGGGCCAAAGGCTCCTGCTC